AGGTTGGGTGCATGAGACAAGTGCTCGGGCCTGGTGCACTGGGAAGACCCAGAGGGATCGGGTGGAGAGGGAGGTGGGAGGGGGGACTGGGATGGGGAGTACATGTAAATCCATGGCTAATTCATATCAATGTATAACAAAAACTACTGTAATGATGTAAAGTAATTAGCCTCCAACTAATAAAAATTAAAAAAAAAAAAAGAACTCTCAAAGTTGAATAGTAAAATAATCAAAATAGAAAATGAGCAGAAAGCATTTCACTGAAGAGAATCTACAGATTGCAAATAAGTATATGGAAAGATGTTCAACATCATTAGCTATTAGCAAAAGGCAAATTAAGACACCAGTACACATATATAAAAATGACAAATAAAAAATAGAGATAACACCAAATGCTGGTGAGGATGCAGAGAAACTGGAATGCTCACACGTTGCTGGGTGCTGGTGGGAATGTAAAATGGCACCGTCACTCTGTAAAACAATTTGGCAGTTTCTTAGGAAACTGCAACTACCATGCAAGCCAGCAATTGCACTCCTGGGCATTTATCCCAGAGAAGTGAAAACTTATGTTCACACAAAAGCCTGTACATGAATGTTCATAGCAGCTTCATTTATAATACCAAAACCTGGAACTAGTCCATATGTCCTTGAATGGATAAAAGGCTAGAAAATCTGGTATATCCCAAAAGATTACATGCTATATGTTTTCATTTATATAACATTCTTGAAATGACAACATTATAGAAATGGAGACCACGTGGCTACAAAAGGGCAACCTGAGGGATTCTTGCTGTGATGGAATGTTCTGTATCTTGATTGTAGTGATGATGTCAATATCTTGTTGTGACGTTGTACTAGTTTTGCAATATGTTACCAGGGGGAATCCGGGTGAAGGGTACACAGGCTCTCTCTGTATTATTTCTCACAACAGCATGTGAACCCACAATTACCTCAGTAATGTTTCAAAGAGAAAAAAGGAAATACACACACACATGAAACCTTTGAATTGTCTTCTGTCCACGTACATTCTGGGACTGTAATCATGTCACTGGTTGCACAGGAGTCTGTTGTGAAAAAAAAAACCCTCAGTTGTTCTCTAAAAGGTAATTAGAACAAATGATGAACTAATAATAGCAAATTATTTAGCAGGCTGTAAAACAAAAAGGTGCAGAAATTTAGCAACTGAATTCTATTTCCTGACTATTACACTTCTGCTATGCAGTCTATTTTCTCTACATCTTAGAACACTGAAGGAGCCATGATGGTTGAAACAGAAGTGACACTGTGGCAACAAATGAAAGAATATTTGAGAGAAGGAAGCATTTCTAATGTTTTGACCATCTATGAGACTCCATAAAAACTGTGCTGTGTATGCCCCAGAAAAGTGAAAGTGAATGTTATCTTTGCTTTCAGTGTTTACAAGAAAATGACTAAATGTTTTCTTATTAAAAAATAGTCCTTTTCCCATGAATTATCAGGTTAAAATTGTTCCAATGTCTACTCTGCCTGTGTGCACTATACAGGCAGATTTGATATCAGTTATTCTTAAAAGTCTAATATTATCTCAGTGGTTCCTTCTCAGACCTGTCTTACTCTCTCCACCCTTTGTTTCCTCAGTCCTCCCGGGGCATGAGGGAACAAAGGGTGAGAGGGCAAGACTTCCTGGGGATGAGGAAATAAAGAGTGGAGAGGAGAGGGCAAGACAGGTCTGGAGAAGGGACCACTGAGATAACATTAGACTTTCAAGGATAATTGATATCAAATCTGCCAATATAGTGCACAAAGACAGAGTAGAATATTGGGACAATTTTAACCTGATAATTCATGGGAAAAAGACATTTTTTTAATAAGAAAACATTTAGTCATTTTATTGTAAACACTGAAAGCAAATTAAGATAAAATTTAAAGCTAAAATGCAACAATAACTCTTATAATATATTCACTCTCAAACAGGCTGATCACCCTGAAGACAAGTGTTTTGCAGCCTGAATATTCATCAGACTACATAACCCACCGTACCAATCGCATTTTCCCTTTGTAACAAAACCGTTTCTATTAAAGCTAGTATGTCTAGAAGTGAATATAAATTATTCCCCCCACCCCACCCTTTTTAAAACTTTAACACATCAAAAGCTATATACTATGTACATGTACGTTAACAAACAATTTTCTCAAAGTAATGGGGTTTTAGACGAATATCAGAATCGGTATTTACGGCAAAGAACCAGAGTACCAAGCAGAGATTTTTCCAATTAAGCTCTTATTTACTATGTTTACCATTGAATTATCCCAGTGCAATGTAACTGCTAATATTTCAGTACTTGCACGAGCTGCACCAAACAATAAGTTGCAAATTACGGGAACAAGTTGTGGATCCAACAACTGCAGCGTGGATCGAGCGTTATCTACTCATCAAATGCGGTCTACTCGTCGTCGTCGTCTTCATCATCATAATTGTCGTAGCAGCAGGTCTTTGTCTGCAGGCCTTTGTCGCTGGTGGTGCCTTGCTCGGCTTCTTCCTGGGTGGTAGTCTTGCCGTGGCTGGTGACAAGCGAACTTTTTTCATATTTATCATCCTCGTAGTCATGCAGATCATCTCTGGAAATCAATAGTCGGGCGAATTTGATGTTCTTTCCTTCGCTGCAGTGAAGTTTCCTCTTCAGTTCGAACAGCCGACGTTTCTCTTGCCTGTCAGGGTAGATATTGCTGCTGTGCGCTCCATCCAATTCTGGCTCCCGCACTGGATAGTTGGAATCGAAGGTATAGATAGAGGATAATCTCTTGGCTAAGTTGTCGATGGTCGTGGTTTCATCCTCTTCAGTTTCTTCCCCGTAGTCCTGCAGACCGAACTGGGAAGTGCTGGGCTCATTCATCCTCATGAAATCGTTGTCTCTGTACTCTTGATGGTAGGTCGCCAAGATGTTCGACTCGTCCCACTTCTGAGACTTCTTTCTACGGGCCACCTGGAGTGGTCCACCAGACTGCTGGGCCGAGCCTGCGACTGAGGAAGTGGTGGAACCTTTGTTTTTCAGGATACCCTTGATGGGCCGGCGAGAGGCTGACATCTTCGGAGAGTGAAGGGCCTCCGCTGAGTGTTGGGTCGCCGCAGCTGCCCGCTGAGCTTCAGGCACAAACTGCTACTCTGTCTGGCTGCCGGACTGTGCCGACTGCCCTAAAGGCCTAGTTCCAGCTCGTGCGTCATAAAGTACCCCGCGGGTGACGCCACAATGGTCGGGACAGCCATCAGCACCGCAGTCAGCACCTCCGTCAGCACCGCCCTCAGCACCTCCGTCAGCACCGCCGTCAGCACGGCTGTCATCGCCTAGGGGAAGGGGGCGGGAGAGTGGGGGGGATGCCCAAGCTGACCTCTTTTTTTTTAAAGTGTAAGATTAGGAAATCTGGAGAAGGGAATGGCAACCCACTCCAGTATTCTTGCCTGGAGAATGCCATGGACAGAGGAGCCTGGTGGGCTACATAGCCCATGGGGTCGCAAAGAGTTGGACATGACTGAACCACTAACACACAAAATAGGAAATCTACCTTCATTGTGCATGAAACTGGGAAACACTGTCTTGTGAATTTCTCTATCCCCTGTCTGTGTGCAGGCGGACTGTGTAGAATGTATTTCTCCCTGGGGGACACGGTCCAAAGTTTCAAAGCCACTCCTTTGGTTGGAAAGACTGGAGGCCTAGGTGCTAGAGGGGCCATTCACTTCCACCCCTCCCCCACAAACACGACCCCTGCCCCTCTCTCCTGTTGCCACCCACCCCTCCCTTTCCCTGTACCTACACACCTCCACAAACCCTTCTGACCAGCCCCGCGATTAATGGTCCGGATGCCCAGCCACTCACGGGTACCATGGGTAACTTCGCTGCATCCTCCTTTCCTGCCCACCCCAACATCTTCCCTGATCACGTATTGCTTCCTCTCCCATCTGGTCCTTCGCTACTGGCTTAACTATTAATATTTCAAGAAACTCCAATTCTATCTCTTCTGCCACTACCATCTCTGGTCAGGGTTACAGCCACAGCCTTTGAACTAGCCCCCATTGCTCACCCCATCAGGTCTCCTGCTGGCTTCCAACTTCTCATTTACTTTAGATTCAGTGTGGCTTTTTAGAAACACCATCAAATCTTGTCACATCTCTCTTTCAAACCCTTTATTGGTGTTCCTTTTTCTTTTAACGTAAAGTCAGAAATCCAGAAGAGGTGGAAAAGCGGCTCTATGAGGGGCTGTGATACCAATTTGGAGCCCTCTCCCTGCCATTTCTCTCCACCCTACCTCTACCTCTTTTCCTCCCCACCTTTTAGTTCCAGGAGCAGTCCCCTTCCTTCCTTCATATCCCAAAGTTTCTCCCTAGGTTCTTTCCACAACCTGGAATGTCCTTTGACATTTCACCTCAGTCCTGACTGCCTTACAGGTACCTGTTTCCTGACCTCCAAAGCATATCAGCCTTCCTTGTTTTCATGGCCTCTCCTATTGTCTCTGGCAGCAGTCAGAGTTGTGGCCATTATGTCTGTTATCTGTGTACACTAGATTTCTCACCATTATCTTCGTCTTCACAACATGATGCTGTACCTGGTAGATCGTAGATATTACCACAATTTTTACAGAATGAATAATAAGTGATAGGCTAGTGCTACTATGTGCATCCTCAGCCATTTCTGACCCTTTGTGACCCCATGGACTGTAGCCTGCTAGGCTCCTCTATCCATGGGGATTCTCCAGGCAAGAATACTGGAGTGGTTTGCCATTTCCTCCTCCAGGGAATCTTCCTGACCCAGGGATTGAACCTTAATCTCTTGTGTCTCCTGCACTGGCAGGCAGATTCTTTACCACTGAGCCACCTGGGAACCCCATAATAAGTGATAGGTGATAGGTAATTGGAAGTCTGAGATTTCTGAGTGCAGAAAAGGGGACTCTAGAGCTTTCACTGTCAGTTACAAGTTGTTCAGTCACGTGACAAAAACATCCCACATGTGGAATTTGGGGGCTGTTCCAAAAGAGTGACTTTGAAACATTTTGTCCTTCACAGGCCTCATATTTCATAGGCAGTAACATACTTCTCAAAAACAAAAAGGAAATTCAGATCCAGTTTCACATTTTCCCCTCCAGGTAGCATTCACAAGATTTTTTTTTCCCTCTTCTGATAACGTTTTGCTTCCTCTTCTCTCCCTCAAGGTCTTTCCAAACATTTTAAAACACAAAAGCAAAAGCATGAAAGAACCGTAAAACTTTTACAATGGTCTTAAGCACCTTAGGTTCAAGTTGTCCTGTATTCTCCAAAGTCCTACTAACTTCAGGAACTCTGCAATCACTTTAAAACTATATTATTCATCTCAGAAAAAGAATTTCCTGATACTGTACTCTTTAAATAAAAAAAAAAACTGTATTGTGTGGTAAGAGCTTTCAGGGATTCAAAAGCTGATATTCAAGGCTATAGGAAAACCCTCCGGTATGTAAAGGGGAAAAAAACAACTTTCATCACTGTATTCAGAAATACTCCAGGCTACTCTTTTCAAAACCTGTCTGAAAGGCAGCACAGACCTGCACAAATGCAATTGGTCCTGGCTGGTAGGCACAGTGGGTCTGTGCATGTATAGCTGTAAACAGGGTGTTGAGGGAAATGCTGATTCCTGTGCATTGGGATTTTGCTTTTGTGTGTACACAGCACCCACCCCCACATACTGTGGTCTGAATATCCAAACTGTTCAATACAGAATGAGTCAGGCATCCCAAAGTCTTCCTTTGTGGCTCAGCTGGTAAAGAATCTGCCTGCAATGTGGGAGACCTGGGTTCAATCCATGGGTTGGAAAGATCCCCTGGAGAAGGGAAAGGCTACCTACTCTAGTATTCTGGTCTAGAGAATTCCATAGGCTATAGTCCATGGGGTCGCAAAGATTGACTTTCACTCACTCATTCAGCCATGGCAAAGTTCTTGAGTTTTCTGAAATTCATCACTCAGTAACACAATGGTAGTTCATACTAGGGCAAGAGGATTTTAATTGTGACCTTCTGACCTGGGTCACAAACAAAATCTTTTAAAGAAATCACCAAGTGTTGCAGATCTCAGTTGCACATTATTTCAAAGTAATCCCTCTCACCTACCATTTGTTAATAATTTGCTTCATGAAAATTGCCCTAAGAAAAAATCATATTTTGAGATTTTGCCATTGAACTAAAAATTCTCAGTCTAGTCAATGTTATCACCAGCCTAAAAGAAAAGATTGACACTTCTTTCAACATTGCTCCTTACATGACTCACTTGCTATTGCCTAGGGCAATGCCTGGGCAGATTGCTCTGTGGTTCCATCACACACACACACACACACACACACACACACACACACACACACACACACTCAAAACTGACTAAAACTTTCCCAGTCAATGACACATTACGTGAAATTTAGATACTGTCTTAGAAAGCCCTTCTTCTAGCAAATATTTAGTGACCATCAACTATGTCTAGTAAGAGAACCTTTATTCTAAATGCACAGAAAGTGAGGTTGTGTGTCAGTGGTCTTCATTGGATTAATATGTGATAAATACATCTAAATATACATGCTGTTCTATCATCACAACTTTTAAATACATTTAAAATATCACTTATATTTAAATTAAATGATTGTTCGGCCTGACAGTAGATAACTCCACAACTTTGTTTCTTCCACTGAGAATTACCTCCCTTCCATGGAGACGTTTTCAAAATGTGTAAATACGGGGATTGGTTAAAAGGAGATCTAAGTCAGGATCCAAGAAATTTTCAGCCAAAAGTGGGAACACCTAGGAAACCAAAAGCTACCACAGAGAAGTTATCCCTGATGTCCTACTGGGTACTATTGGTGAGAAATTGTTAAAACACTGAGAGGCAGTCAGGGTTTTCAGGATCAATCATGCTGCCAGAAGTGGAGCTTAATACTAGTCAACCATGTAGCATCCAAAGGTATACATCAGTCCATCCAAGAATTGTCTACAGTACTTGGAGAATTATGTTGGATAATGTGTAGTATAAAAATAAAACTGCTGTTTGGTTTTGAATCTATATATTTGCCTATTCTCTCTCTCTCATATTCCAAACTCAAATTTCTGATATTCTATTAAATATCACTGTTTTAGATTGGGTTCCCTTAGAAACTGATCATGAGATAAGGATTCAAGTGCAAGTAGTTTACTTGGGAGGAGATTTGCCCAAAGCACTGGTAAGGGGAGTGGAGAAGTGAGACAGAGAAGGGCAGGAAGCAAAGGATGCATTAAAAAAACAGTTCCTACCATAAGCAACCAGAGCCTAATGCTCCTGAGAAATTCTAGATGCCAGTGTAGAAGAGTTATCTCCATGGCCTACCCCCACCCCATTGGTGAGGGAGGGAGAGTATATTCGTACATCAATTGCTGCCATCTTGACTTCAGGCCTGCTGGGAGTGGGGAGAGGCATGAATCCCTGCCACTTTGGATTCCGGCTGAAGCTTGGGAAGTGGATGGCCAACTTGCTGATGCAGACCCATGCTGGTTTCTTTTATTCCCTGTTTCACAAACCCTGTCTTGCTATCCTGCTTCCTGGGATCCAAGTCCTAAAGGAAAGCCTTTTTCTCCAGCTCTGTCTTTGCAGTAAGGAATCCAAACAAAAGCAAGGATTGCGCATTTCATCTTTATTACCACCACCTACATAAACAATAATTGGAACATGTCCTTATTCTGTGGCAGATGTTCATATTTCTATTAAGTGGATGAATGAACTGAGGGAAGTGAGCAAAAATCCTTTGAAAGGAAAAGCCTGGAAGTATTGGCAGATCTAGAGGTGTTCAGTAAGACAGTGGTTTTCCATCTTTTCCATTGTTAAGTTTTAAGGCAATAAATCTTTTTTTTTTTTTTCCAAATTCAACCTTATGTAGAACTCCAGAATAAAATTTGGTCAATTGGAGCTAGGAAGCAATGGAGTTGGTCTGTCTGAATGGAGGTGGAGACACCAGAGTTCTCACTTCTTAGGATCTCAGACATGGCTCCTGAGGCATCACAGGCACTTGGCACTCGGGGAGAGGGATCAATTGGAAAATCCTTGTAAGAGAGAGTCATTGCCCAAAGCAATGTGATCCCAAGGGTTGATTTTCTGTGTGATCACCTCTTTTAAGAATGGGAGCTGAGAGTAGGAGTGAGGAGATTCAGATCATGTTAGGGAAATTAAAATGGAGGAAATCTTGTTTAGGCTTTAGAAGCAGGAGAGAAGGCCTCTGACCTGCTTCTGACC